GTATATATGTATATACAGTATATATATGTATATATATATATTAGGGGTGCAATGATACAAGAAATTCGCAGTTTCTTTGGGTTTGATACTTTTCAAAAGTCAAAGGGCAGGAAAGAAAGGAAAAATACATATCTGAAGACCACTGCAAGTAAGGGTGGCCTATTTTTGGACAAACTTGACCTTGACCCAATATGGAGGCTTTCAAGATGGCAGTCATATTCTGGACATGGCCTAAAAGGACAGCCCCCCTCACCCATTACTTGCTGGAGGAATCAATTTCCCTTTTCTTTCTAAAATAAAAGGGTGTCCTGTGACTTTTGACTCATATGAATACATGAAAAATTATTGGATTTATCCATGTAAGGGTGTATTTTCTGTCAGTGCTCCTGTAATGTCTGAGTTTGTTTTAACAGATGAAGTTGTTCTCAGCTACTGAGGTGAATTCCTTTTATTTTTTGATAAGAGCCAAAATAAACTGATGAGAGCCGAAGATAAGATTAGTAATAACTGTCCTCCTTATGTTCCGTCTTTGACTCTGAATGCTGTCTACTCCCTCGTCTATGTATGTTTTGAAACCCCACCTCCCCCAGAGTTTCTCTTCAAACCCCTCCCCTCCACTTTTCGCCCAGACTCTGGCTGAGGAATCCCAGGCAGCATTTAATTGCAGAGTGCAAAAAGCTTTAGTTGGGCTCATAAGCTCAGCGCCAGAGCCGAGGCTCCTTTACGCACACTCTGAGAAAAACAGAACACCACATGGAGTCCTTCACCCGAGGAGCCTCGCACAGCGGCTGGATTTCAGGGGGTAGGGAAGGCAGGGATTCTCAAATCCAGGTACAGTCGACTATGTGAGAGAATCTACCAGAGGCAGGAGACGTAAGAGGTGGAGAAAGACAGGAGAGCAGGAGAGGAGAGGGGAGGGGAGGAGACGGGAAATACACTGCCAGAGAGACAGAGCAAGGCAGAGACTGGACGCCTGCAGCAGCAAATGAGACAGAACAACGAGGCGGGAGAGGTAGAAAGAGAGACAGAGAGGGAGGGAGGCGAAGAGGGGCCCCGTGCTGGAGAGAGGGCTACAGGGTGAGGTGGAAGAAGAAGGAGCGAGGAAAAAGTTGGGGGGGAAAGTAAGTGGAAGAAGGACTCGGGAAAATACGCACGTAAGATTAACGGCTACAGCGAAGACGAAAAGGGGGAACAACAGACAGGAAGGAAGAGGAGGGTGAAGTCTCGAGTAGAAAGTACCAAAGAGGCCAGAGAAAAGTTTTCTTCTGGGAAGACGCAGATGAGGAAAACAGCGAGTGAATGACCGGGCTGAAGAGGGCTTGGAGAGGAGGAAACCACTTGTTTTCAAAGGCGTTTTCAACACAAATCTCCAGGCGTGAGTGGATATGTACACAGAAGGCTCCCAAACAACGGGACACCACCGATTTCTTCAGCACACCCACCCTCCCTGCCCCTGCCAGCACTGCATCTACCATGAGCAACCGTACGAGTATCACCGAGGGTCCGGATACCACCCAGCATCAGCCAGACAGACGGACCACTCATCGCCGGACTGCAGGAGAGACATCCAGGCTCCTCGGGGTAAAGATGTAGGAGGCAGAGCTTTCTTGGTGGACAGAGTGGCGAGAGGCGGTCAGCTCAGCCCACAGAGGAGGCCTGTGTGCGCTGGGCCAGGCCTTTACGGCCACTTGAATGACTTCAACCAAGTGTGCCCCTGGGAACTGAACCCTGCCCAGTGGAGTGACCCAGAGGAGCCTGGGGTGAGACGCTATTCATCTGCGAGACAACAGTGTGGCTGTGTCGAATACGGCGACAGAGCACACCCCTTTCACCCTGGGATACCACACCCTCTCCCTCATCTTCAGGTCAAAGGTCAAGGCTACAGACGGAGGAGGACTGTCAGGTATATCTCCGTGGATGAAGAGGAAGGCTGCGATTGCGCCTCTGACAACTATCATTTGGAACCAAACAGCAACCCGGGTCATTTTCCCATGACAAATGGCCACTCGGGACCAAGGCGTGTGTTCTTTGAGGAAAAGGAGGAAAGAGATAACTATCAAGACCAGGGTTGGGCAAAGGGTGGATCAGAGGACGGGTTTGATCACTGCAGTGGGTCCAACAAAAGCTTCTTCTCCACTGAGGTCCCACTAAAACACTTGAGTCAAAGAAGACAGAAGGCATCCTGCATCGCACCTTCCAGCACCACCTGCTCGGAAACCTCCAAACCCATAACCGACGACGACGAGCACCAGCACGAGGCGTCGGAGGAGACGACGCAGAAGACGAGGCGGGACTCGGTGAGGGATCAGATCCGGCAAGTCGTAACAGATCTGGAGGAAGTGTTGGGGGGTTTGAAGCAAGTTCACGTGGAGATGAAAGAGGTAGGAGGGTCTGTAATTAAAGATGTTTAATCCTCAGACATACATCAGGTGTTTAATCACAAAAAAAGGTCAGAATCCGCAGCAGATGTCCCAGGCGTTTATCACTCCTCTCGTGGCTAAGATGTCATTTAAAACAGTTATCAGCAGGCTCAGATGCTGATAGTGCAGAGCAGTGCACCATGGGTCATTGCATGTTATTAGACGATCTGCGTGAGAGAGTATGTGTCCTGATGACTGCATTGTTTGTGATTCAGTCATCGTCTCTTATTGAAGAGGTGATAGAGGATGATTTGCTCTGACCTTTTGCAGAGTGCTTCTGTAACCAGCAGTGTTCTGATCAGCATGTTACAAAGCCCAGCGTTGGACTGTTTCTGAATTACTCCTCGCTTCTTACAGCATTAATTTTACATGCAGCTGTAAATGACCATTGATTCACAGCTGAATGCATCTGTTCCAGCTCAGTGTTTCACAGTTACAATGACAGAAATCTGTTTAATGAGTGGTAATCAGTTCAAAGGAAATGAAAGGGGCTTTAAATTAAAGTAAACGGTTGTCTTTTTTTTTATTGATATTGATTCAGTCGAAAAAACATTTTTAAGAAATCTAAAGGTGTTAAGTAACTAAGTACACTTATACTTTGTTACAGTTTTTATATATTTTTTTAGGATTTGTATGTATTTTTTCAAAACTTATTTTTTACTTTTTATTTTGATGCATTCAAAACAAAAAAAAAATACATTTTTTTGCTTTAAAATTTAACACCTAGTTACAAGTTACTCATTTAAATATGACCAGAAATAATCATGAAAGGGTTGAATTTATTTAACCAAGCTGAACTTGTTTTAATGGAACCAGTTTGGTTAAGTTAATTCAACGCTTCATTTTTTTAGTGTGTAAAAGTACCTCAACTTTTGCTTTCACTTTCCCAATTACTTTGAGAAGTTTTATGACTTTTAATTAAAGTTCAGATCAGTAAACTTAATTTTTACCGAAGTCATTCTCTTGAGGTATTTTTACTTCATTATTTCTTTCAAGTACTTTATTTACTTCTGTCAGTGTGGCACCAGTGAAGTAATTATCAAGATAAAGTGGTAATACTTCAATAAAAGTGTAATTAAGAGGGGAAAATTGTGTTTGTTCTTTAAATTTTGCCATTAAAACCAGCATATAATACAGATTTAAACTGCTAAATTGGAAATCCTTTGAACAAAAAGACTTCATTATTCTCATGCTGCGTTAGATTTGATTTTTATTGTTTAGTGCAGTTTATCTTGAGAGTCCTGCAAAAGGTCAACAGTAAAATTCAGGAGGGTCAGGAAATATTAGTGTAATACAAGAAAAGAAAACTACAAAAATCATTTTTAAGTAAGTAATTTATTAGGATAATAATTCGAGTAAAAATGTATTTATTCCAAAAGGTATTTATTAGAACAGAAAAATACAGAGACATACCAATAAAACAAGTCAAGATTGTTTCTGTTTTGTTTCTGAATGCCAATCCTTACATTTTGATATGTTTGTTGTATTTTTTATAATAATTTATCTGGTAATAACATAGTAATAACATAAGATAAGTAACAATATATTAATGACATTTTTATTTAGTATGAGACTAAAATGGCCAATGTAGTTGATGCAAAACAGTTGAGAAAATGGTCAAAAATATCCATAATAGTGGTAGTTGAAGGAGTTTAACCCATCTCCTCAGACTTTTAAAACTGTACTCAGAGTCTTTATTGACTCTTCACAAATCTTGATCTTTGAATTCAGAACCTTCTGGAGTAAGACCAATTGTGCCACACTTCCATTTATTTTAACACAGTTTGTTTTTTATGTTTTATTCCCAATGCTTTTAATTGCTTTCATTCATTATAGCATCTTCTTTTAAAATTCTCGGATTAATTCTGTGAAGTTTCTTTTAGTTTGACATCATGTCCTTATGTCATCTATACGTGTTTGATTTGATTGGATTAATTGATTTGTTTCACTGTAAAGTTATGAAACTCTGAGCTGTACAGCAGTTTGGTAGCATCCACCTTTCCTATTATCATTCAGGTGGTTGAGCAGATCGATCGTCTCACGGCCAACATCGACCTGAACGAGAAGGCGCCATGCATCACTCAGGGGTTAAGCAGTAATGACCAGACTCACGCAGGAGACTTCAGGGTAGCCCCTCCTCTCAGTCACAAACCCGCTTCGGCTCAGGCTCCACGACAGGTCGGCGAGGACCGCCTCATCCTCAGAACCAACTCAGTCTCCCCCATCCACATGGCTTCTGTTGTCAAAACCAGCCGCTTCACGCCGCCCAGTCTCCACAAAGATGTCAGCCACAAAAAGCCAATCGTGAACGGCCACCCGCCTCAAATGCACCACGCAGGAGCGTCCAACCGCACGGACCAAACTCATCCAGAGCACCACCCGCAAACTCTGGACCCTAAAGTCATCATCGGGAACAGCACTTCTAATCCGAGAACTCAAAAGCCTCCACCGTACCCGCAAAACGGCCGGTGTGGGAAAGGCCAAAACCTGTCGTCCAAACCTGCGAGGACCCCTGCCTGCCCTGTGAGAGGACGCCACAGCACCAGCATGGTGTGACGGAGGAGGGTGGGGTGGAGAGGTGGTGTTTTACCCAATGAAACACAAGGCCCTGCTGCAGAGAGAGGAGCTCAGAGAGGGACCAGGCAGGGGAACAACTCATAGTAAGCTCCTTTTTTTTCCCTCCTCCCCTCTTTTACACTGTTGATGTTTCTGTCGGTGCTTGCAGCCGATGACGTTTGCTCTGTTTACTGGAAGAGCAGGGTTCAAAGTCTGTAAATGAATAGCAGTGTTTCTCTCTGTGACAAAAAAAAAGATGTTTGATGTGTGTGTGTGTCTGTGTGTGGGCGGCAGGGGAAGGGGGAAGGCGTAATATGTCTGCTTTTGTTGATATCACATGATTTCCCAGTCTTCTCCACACTGTAAAATGTGTCTTGGTAGGTAAAGGGACAATAATCCCTCCGTTTAGTCACACATGTGGTTATAATCAACCAGCAGAATGAGAAATGTTCACTCGCTGAAGTAAAACTTTTTTTAAAAAATGAAAACAACTGAGGATGTTCTGACCTTGAAAAACATGAGCTGCTGGTTTTATCAGTTCTGCTACAGATAAGTCAGAAAATAAGGTGGGATTTAATGAAGCAACTTTTAAATTCGCTTATTTTAGCTCTGTTTTTTAGTTCAACCTGTTGACTGTGAAGCCAGAAAGCTCAGTGAAGTCTTGAGACATTTTTTACAGTGTAACGCAAAGGAAACGGGGGATTTTGGCGGGAACTGAGTTGCTTTTGGCAAAGGGAGAGCCCAGAGACCCCAAAATTACTTCAATTAAATCACGTGACAATAAAAGACTCAAATAATTCAAAGGATCATCAAAACTCTCGACAGAATCAACATAATTTTGTCCAAGAGGCTGACAAGGAGGGACGTTTGTGGCACCACAGTCAGAGTTATCACCCCTGACTGTAAACTAGAGGCTGAGTGGGACGTCTGGAAGGAAGCCTTCAAAGTGAAAATGTATTTTGACAAGTCAGTTTCCACTGGTGCTGCAGAGACAAGCGTGTACGTTTCTGTACTTCCCTCTTGTGAAGAATATCTGGAACTGCAATCTATTTTTCTGGCCTGGGTTAAGCCAAGTCTGGTTTTAATCATAGAACTCCTTTACGCATGTGCCAGAGCAAAATCAAACTCTGGCTTTATTTGCGATGTCCTTATAAACATGAGAGGCGCCGCTCAGAAATGACTCTCGCACTTACAAGGTGGCAGACAGACAAAAATGTTGATGAGGCGTCCATGCTTGGGATTGTTTTTAAACATTTTTTTTAAAGACGTCCAATGCGTTCCCCGTTTAACGCCGTTCATTTCAAAGTCTCTGAAGCTTCCACGCTGTTGGCATTTTTGAAGGTCTGAATCATCTAAATTAGTCACCTAGTGCAGGTTCAATGTTAAAATGACTTGCAGAAGATATTGCTAAGCAACCTGACCGAGCACAGCAAGTTGTCTCTCAAATCCTTTTCTTCATAGTTTAAAAAAAGAATTCCCATTAGAGTCTTTTCATGTGGTCACTGGGCTCCGTGGAGCAGAGGTAATGTTAAGTGCTTCAGAGAGAAAATTAAAACTAAACGAAGATATCGCTCACTTTCTAACCCCTTATTTCGTTTGCTCTATTAAAAAATATGAATTTGACAGGTTTCTTTTTGAAATCATGAGAACGCACTAAATATTGACAAACAGAGAAACCATAAATCTATTTTACGTTAAAAATATTACCTTTGGGACCGGCTGAAATGTTGATGAGGGACAGATTTGGCCTGCGGGCCTTTAGCTTGACACTTGTGATACAGTTGTTTAAAGGATGTGTTTCCATTTAAAAGAAAGAAAGGATAAAATGTGTAATAAAGTCTGCTGTAGGAATGGTGCAGTAGTTGATCAAATTCAACAGATTATATTATAGTATAAGACTAATCTTCAGAGGTTTATAGTAACTAAGTACATTTACTTTGTTACAGTACTTAAGTAGTTTTTTGAGGATTTGACTTTTACCAATTATTTTTAAATAGCTCTTTTACTTTTATTTCCTTACATTTTAAAGCTAAAATGATATTTTTACTTCTTTACTTTAAAATGTAACACCTAGTTACTTATTACAAAATTAAAAATGTTGGAACTCAGCATGAAAGATGTTTCTGCACTCTAAAAAATGACGTGTTGAATTTACTCAACAAAGTCATGTCAGCTGGCTCCACTAAGCCTAATTAAGTCAACTGAGCAAAGAATATACATTTATTGCTCAATTAATTCAACCTGGCTTAGTTTGGTTCAGGAAATTCAATATTTAGAGAGTGTGTAAAAGTGCTTTTACTTTAACTTTTCCAATTTTGGTGAACAGTTTTGTGACTTTACTTTAGTTTTCTTGTCAGTTAAATTTATTTTTACCAAAGTCATTTTTTGTTCATGTAATTTTACTTTTACTTGGTACTTTATAGACCTCTGCTAATCTTACACATAACTAATGAACAAAGATCTTGTTGACTGAGAAACCACAGTCTCTTTGTGAGTTAAAATACTCTATAAAAACATTCTACTTTAATGTTAAAAAAACAACTAAAGCAAACCTAAAATGGGACAAGTTCCTAAACTGCAAATCTGTTCATTTTCAGAATAAAAATGTCAATTTAATCTTTAATTTTTAAGTCATCTGTAAATCTTTGAAATATTGTTGAATATCTTTTATTTTCTAAATAATAAGAAAGGATATTACACAAAACAAGTAAGCTTGTAAGCTGGAATTGATTGATTGATTGATTGATTGATTGATTGATTGATTGATTGATTGATTGAACTGGAGAATCCTCTTATCAGAGCAAGAACTTCACCTGCAGTGTGTGGGATCTGACATCAGTGCCAACCACTTCATAAAAACGTCCTCACTGAAGGTCTAAACCCTTCTGTGGTTTTAACAAAAACAAGAGAGGATACAAAGCCTTTTGACACGAGTTTGATGAAAACCTGAGTGATGACTCATACGACGACATGACTCACAAGGACACACAGTGTCTCACTTTCACCACTCAGTGATGCTATGAGGGAAAACCTTGACAGAAGCAGCTTGTGTGTGTTTGAGTGTGTGTGTGTGTGTGTGTGTGTGTATTTGATTAAAGAGCTGCTGCTGACATCTGAATTTAAATTATTGATTCTCGCCTTTCCTTCTCCGTTCTGATGTCTCTGTCAGGAGCTGGCGATGCCGCCGAGGCGAACTGTCAGCTGGTGGAAACAGAGCGCGGCCTGAAGGTGGGGATGTTTCCAAAGGGGAAAACTCCACCAAGCGTTGACCCGCCACCGGTCCTCACAGGAGCACGGGAGGAGAATCGAGCTGAGAAATTAAAAGTGGAGATGTCTGAAGGAATGAACTGTAAATTATTACTCAACCATCAACTTAAAGCTGTATTTTCACAACAAAATTTATTTATTTTGACTATTTTCGCTCCCAGATGTATATTTTCAGTCAGTTTATAATCTGAACATTAACTTGTGTATATTGTATAGTATTTTTAAGATGCCATATCAGCATATGTAAAGATATTTTCATACAAGGTTGATTTTATTCCTGCGACATGATTGTTTGAAAAGTTATTGTCAGCTGGGCATTAACGGTAATGCAATACCATAAATATAAATTCTTTTGCACTTTCCCACACAGCTCAATCTGAACTATAGAGATGCTTCAATAGTTGTTGAAAACCTCACACTGAAATATATATTAAACAAACAACACCAGCAATTTTTTTAAACAAATGAGTGTGGAAAATGATTAATAAGTGATGTGAAGTGAGAGTGGTTGTTGAAGGCCTCCCCGTCAGCTGACCCGGAGGAGGCGGTGTGTGGTCTCCAAATGTTGTTGTGTTCAAGGCCGGCCAGACCAGCGTCTGTCTCTGTGTTTGTTTAACTCTTGTCTGAGAATTTTACCACTCTCTTCTTACCATCTTCTGCTGCTATCACTGTGAGAGAAAAAAAGAAAAAAAAAGAATCCATCTTTCTTGCAACGAATCCATCTTTTTCAGGATTTCATTGCGTCACAGGAACAGATGGACGATTACACCCACAGGCTGTTTCACTGTCTTGGCCATTTTCCCATTAACTGTCTGGGTAATTGTGTGAAAGGCGAAGGTGAGTGATAATGTTTTTGCTCTTCTGTCTTTCTTTGACTCATTCTGCAAACCGTCTGACCAGATCAGGTATAAAACATGATAGAAATTCAAAGAGGATGTTCTTATAGCCTGTGCCGTCTGGTGGAGTATTGTTTCTTGGTGTTTTAGGCTCGAAATGGAAAATTACAGCAAAATGAGGAACCCCAGCTTCTGTCTGGGAAGCAGCTAGGTGCTAATTGGGTCGACCAACCTCCTCAAACACAAAGCAGGTATGTAGAGAGTAGCTTTCAGGCGATTACAGTGATGAAAACCATTTGTGGCATTAATTATGAAAGCTTCCAGATGTTTACATTTGGCAACCCTTAAGGCAAAGTTGTGTAACAGTACAGAAAAATGCATTATGAGTTTAATATAAGACACCTTTGAAAAAAGAACATCTGCTTTCTTATAGTTGCTCCTTTCCTAATGTATGAGGAGAAAAACCATTTAGTATCAGTTCGTATCAAGTGATTAACACAATATGGCCACATGTGTCTAATAATGAAATAGTTGCCGAAGTCCTTGAGATCTTAGCATACATGACTTGATGATGCAAACGCACTTCTCATATTATTTTACCTTTATCTTTGCTGTTATATTAATATTAGTGCTGGGCATAGATTAAAACTTTTAACCGCGATAGATCTGAAGTTTTTCTTTAGATTAATCGCGATTAATTTCATTATTGTGCACAAAATTTAATTATGACACAAAGTTAAAGCATTATTAAAATAATGTTTTGCACAAAAAAGTTCAAAGCATTTTCAAAAAACTTAAAACAAATAAGGCAAAGCAAGTTTAATTTGTTTGTTTTTCTCCCACATCCAGCCTCGTCTGCAGAAGCCTCCCTCCGTTTGTGATTGGTGTTTAAATAGATTCTAATTTAAGAGATATTTCAGACTTGAATGCCTCTGGTAGTATGACAGTTTAGCATTGCAGAGCTAACAGATAACTTTACTTCTATCCAGCCTGTCGTCAGGGAGAGTTTAAAACTAAAAATGGCCAAACATCCAAGGCTTTCATTGGTTTAGATGCGCCATGATGGTCATTGAAAGCCAATAATAATCAATGTCCCACTTCCCCATAATCACTGGGTTTGTCTCTCTATGTGAATGTGTGTGTGCTCTGGTGAGCGACGGTCTTAAAAAAACTGTTGAAACTATTAACTGTGTTAATGAGCATTAAAATAATTGTTGCCATTAAGCTTCAGCTGTGTAAACATGCTCAGCAAGTGTTATTATATATGTTATGGCAATATTTATTTACCAATTACAGAAATACGTGGTCCAAGAATGAAGGTACTCCGTGAGATGATCAGCTGGGTTTTATTGCAACAACAGGAAACACAGAGAACAACCTGGCCTGTCTCTGTGCCTCTGCTTCTCTCTGTCACTGTCTCTCCACACTACTGTGCCCACTGTTGAACACTGTGTCTCGAGAGGCCTCATATATGTATTAACAAACACCATTCTGTCATCTTAGCAAGATTTGATACAAGGTCAATGGAAAACACAAAGATAAACACAAGTGATATCTAAGAATGATTATTGTTGTTAGCAGATCTTGTTCTGARTTTAATCATTCTATCTGCAMKTGAACAGCAMGTCATGAAAACCTAGGTCATTAAAGGATGTCATGAATAACTAGCTTAAACATAAAAGTATTAGTTCCATTACATCTCCCCCATCTGATCATTAAATCACCAATTAAATGATCAATAAAACAAAAAAAAAAACTCTTTAATGTATTAAAAAAACATGTCAACATAAACCTAAGTATATGCACTTTTCTGAAATCCCAACCCCAGAAATGCAATTTTTAACCCTCCCACAGTCATTTCTAACCCCCCAAAAAGTTATCACACAAAAGTCTTTGGATCATCTTGAACACAAACAGGATTGTCTGTTTTGTTATATGGAAGAGTCAGAGGTGGTGGTGGGGCTCTGCGACTTTTTGTAGAGGCTGGTTTAGTTCCTGGGGCTGAATGATTATTGTTGTTAGCAGATCTTGTTCTGACTTTAATCATTCTATCTGCAGCTGAACAGCATGTCATGAAAACCTAGGTCATTAAAGGATGTCATGAATTACTAGCTTAAACATAAAAGTATTAGTTCCATTACAATATATATATGTCCAAATTTGGTGTGACTTGTTTTCTAAATGTGCAATCAAATAGGGACATTTCCATCTATCCATCCATTTCTTCACTTGCTTTAACGTGCAGACGAGTGGGTTACACTTTGTACAGAAATCTCGTCCAACACAAGACAATTGTTGAAAATCCACACCTGCTATCGCCCCCATGAGCAGGAGCGCTTCAAAAGAAAAATAGTTTGAATAAAGACATGAAAAGGTTAAACAGTTTGGTAGCTGAAGGATAAACAAAAGCCTCACATCCCACCCACGTCACGATGCCACCCAGCTTGAAAACAAAAACACGACTCATCACGAGTTCCACTCAGAGACGATCCCATTGTTTTGTCTCAGAGTTCCGTGCAGTCCCTTGTTTCAGGTATGAAAGCGTCTGCTGGCCTTGTGCGAGGGAAGCAGGCCTGTGTTTCTACCCCCGCAACCCCGCCGCTGGTCTTCAGCTGACCCGAGCGCAGTCCTTGATCTCAGCTGGATGACAGAACTGCTGAGGAATTTCTCTGCTCCGTGCCTAAACCAACCTGCCAAGATGCTCTCCTGAGGCTGGGCTTCTTTTAGCTTCCCGCCAACGCTCACGTGGCCCGGCTTTGTTGAAATACGACCCACAAATACCAAACCTTGCCCTTTGTATCCCCCTTCAAACACCTACGTGCACGTACAGCCGGAAAATATCTCTCCTTGTTGCCAAGAAGTATGTTGTGTGTAGTTTGCTGGCTCACCTGTGTGTTCACTAACTTTTGTGTTCTGTAGTGAATGAGAATAGCCATTTTTTCCTCCCACTTTTGGCTTCATCAGCCAACAAGAAGCTGTCCAGATGTTGATGTGAAGCTCCACAGCTGAGCAAACAGCATCTCCTCTTCTGCATGTTTAAAACTGACAGTTTGTAAATGTAGTTGATGTTTATGTTCTGCAGAACAGATCTGATAGTATCTGCAACATTATGAAGAAAGTTTTCCTAGACATGAGTTGTGTTTTGTTTGAATTAAATTATTTGATAAAAGATAAATAAAAAGTAAAAGCTCACAGTACAATTTGAAAACAAAGCACTGAGACTTTAGTTGTTTTGTTTGAAGATTAGCATTTAGAGCAACACCCTTTAACCCCATAGAGCCTCTAAATTGGCTGTGGACTATATTTATTTTAGCTTAGCTGTAATAATCAGCTGCTTAAATAGTCACAGTCTCCAAATATTATCTCTAGAATTCCAAGACGGGCAGGAATGACGCTGACTAAATCTAAGCAAAGGGGATTTTTCCAGACATTTTCAATAACACACACAATCTATTCTGGCACAGAGGCACACTGGTAACTTCCAAAAGAGCTAAATCTATCTGCTGCTTTGGTTTATAGAGCTGAAGCTGAGCTCATTTTGTTATAAATACCCAGCATCTGTGCATTTATAACATACACACTGTCTGCAGCATCTTTTCCAGGACATAACTCAAAACCACTTCATGTTTGGAACGGCAATTCTCTTCAAGGCAAAGCCTTTAAATCAGGCAGAGCATTATTCTCTGCAGAATAAATATAGTTCACTGTGGTTTAGTATTTCCCCTGTCACTTGTTTGATACTTCAAACTGTCTATTTTTACAAAATCGTATAAAAACATCACTTAGTGACTCTGGAGATATTCCCAAGTGGGTTTTTTTTTACTCTGAAGCAGGCAACATACCCCAGCCATGTTAAAAAAGATGCATCAGTCTCCACTGAATGCACATTACAATGTGAAGCGATGGATTCTGTATCAGAGAGGAGCATCTTAACATGCAGCAGGAAAAGATCCAGACATGTTTTAGCAGGAGTGGCGTAGATGTACAAGATCCTGCAGGTTGCGCCTTCACACAGGTGTGTCAGCAAACATGCCACCAGCAGGCCTGTTTGTCAATCTGCTCAGTCACATCCCTCCCAGTAAAACTGCTCTTTCCATTGGGAGGAGAGGGAGAATTAGATTTGCACTGCTGTTATGATGACAAACATCTCCTTTATATGCCTGTGTCGTATTCAGGGTTTTTATAATAAAACACAAATATCCATCCACACATTAAAAACTTGTCTTTGGAAATTAACAAAAAAGTTTTTTTTTTTCCTATTCTGGTATTTTAATACAAACTTTGCCTCTCATTAGAAAATGAAGAAACTCTCAGAAATGGATTTTAAGTCGAACTTATGAATTAAATTCAATGTATTTTTTATATAACAATAAAAATCTGAACATTAACTCATTAACAGTCATGTGCATTTTTTAAAAAAGAGGAGTTTGATTATGTTTGGTCAACATTTGCTGCATTCACAAGTGTGTTTAATAACCTGTCTTGTTTGGTGGATTTTAAAAATGACGCTTTATGGTTTACAGGCTTAAGGACTGTTTTCACCAACTTTGGTTTCAGACTAAACAATGTTCACTTGACCATCTTCCAGCCTGAAAGATGTGTCTCAACTAAAGTGCTGCAGCTTTTGAAAATATTTATTGACAACAATAAAAATGTACAGCGTCCATATTTTGCATTAAATGTAAGAACTTGTTTTCATGTAACACTGATGTGAAGCAGAAGAAAACCCAAACAGAAGCAACAAACCAAACATTTAAAGCAAAAATCAAGAAAAACACACACACTTAAGAAAGACAAATCCAACAAATGTATTTGTTGGCCAATCATCATAATGAATTTTGGCACATTAAAACACTTTTCATGTCATTCCTTTGGTTTCATTTACAAAATTTTACATTTTAAACCAATAAATGTAACTTAAGACTCGATAAGTTCAAACCTGTGACACAAATTTTACCGTTTTTGAGTATGTTGGTGTCTGGTCCACAAGGAGATGTTTTACTTCATCGCCAGCAAATAATACAAATAATGAAGATATTTAAGGTCTGAAAAAAAGACAAAAAATTTTGACATGTACAAAACTGCAGACTATTGTAATTTCTTATTTTTTTAAGAATCCACAGTTGCACCAAACTCCTGTTTTATTTTTTTAAGCTAAATTGAATAATGTTAGTGTCCTTAACAAAATGATAAACCTGAAATGTTTCTTAGCCACAAAAGTGCTCTACCTTGTTATTCGACAGTTGCGTGTCTGAACATAAAGTCCTGTGTACGTGATTTCACATTGAGCAATGTTGTTGGTGAAGTCCGACTCCAGGACCAGGAAATTGGGATTGACTGTAACCTTAAAACATAAAAGAAAAAAATAAATAAAAGTCGTTTATCTCTGCAAACTGGTTGTTAGTGCACAGCGCTTTGAAGATTTCACCCAGAGTCTGAACATGGAGTTACCTGCAAGATGTAATTTCCTGGAGGCACGTCGGTGATGTCGACCCACTGACAGTCGATGTTGGCAGCATAAGTGTCATGACATCCTGGACTCAGTCCCTGAAAAAACACAAAGAAATCAATCCATTCAGTTCTAAGCAGGATCTGCGGTTTTGGGACCTGTGACAGCTACTTGTCCAGCGATTTAAACAATTTAAGTCAAAGAAACTGTTCTTGGAAGGAAAATTGTTATGAGAATACAACACTAAGAAGCGTGGAGCCTTAACCACAGAGCCTGGACAACAAAGGTTCTCATATCTGCATGGGTATAATTCTCTTTGGGATGGTGTCTAGTTGAGGTATTAACTACAAAAACATATCTGAAAAGTGAATCTGGAGGCTTTACAAAGAAATCAAGGTAAAAAAGTGCAGTATTGAGATGCACACAGTTCTTTTTGTTTGACTGTCTTGATGAAATAGTCTACTGAAATATGATGGTGGTTCCAAATTTTTTAAAGCAAAACAGAGATTGATTCAGTTGCTGCTCCAAATAAAAGACATTTCATTAACTGAACAGGGAATATGGTGAACAGTAACTCCTACGCTCATACTGTATAATAAAAATAGAAAGTATAAAATCTAGAAAGCTGACTCCAAGACACCAAAAAGAAACGCCCAAGATGTTACAGAATTGTGAAATTATGATTGTTTTACCTTAAATCATTAGAAAATGACACAACAAGAAGCATTTATTTTAAGAAGCAGTACTGTAGCTGCTGAGTCTGGGACAGTCTGCCATAAAGTAGAAGTATCTGAGAGAAACCTCCTCCTTTTAGGTAATTTATGATGAGTCTGAAGTTGAACAGGCAGGAGCTCTGTGGGGCAGGAACTCGGCTTGGGACTGAGCTCCAGGGAGGAGCTTTGTGTATATGGGTGGAGCTTTGTACCTGCAAACATTTAGGCAGCTCCACATGGCCACAGAAGATTCATTCAAACATGAATGAATAAGTCAAAGCAACACTTTGAGTATGTTTTTGATGAGGGAATGACATATTATGACATAAAGCTAAAAAAAAATCAATTTTGCATTAGTACAACCCCCTTTAAAATTATGATTTATCCCAGCTTTATCCATATTTTAAACAATGTCTCCGAGACTGATACTGTGTAATGTGTCTATCAGTCCTTTTTTTGTATTTTAATTTATATTGTGTTAAACTGATTTGATTTATTTATTTATGAGTTTTTTATTATGGCTGATAAGGAATGTCCAATCCTGATCCTCTTTCTGGCCGTTTAGGGGTGTCAAACTTCTGTCCTCGAGGGCCGCTATCCTGCATGTTTTAGAGGTTTTCTTGCTCCAACACACCTGATTTWGATCGCTGGGTGATTAACAGGCTTCTGCCCAATTTGAAGAGTTAATTCAATCACTGAATCAGGTGTGTTGGAGCTGGAAAARCTCTAAAACATGCAGGATAGRGGCCCTCGAGGACTGGAGTTTGACACCCCTGTTAGAAGTTTCTCTGCTCCAACACAGCTGATTGAGTGACTGAACAAAGTTCTGCAGCAGCCTGTTAATCACTCATTCACGCAGATCAGCTGTGTTGGAGCAGAGAAACCTCTACAACAAATAGAACATGCAGGACAGTCATCCTCGAGGACCAGAATGCCCTGACAATATGTTTGACAATATTAATATTAATCTGCTTCATCCAGTCATTAGTGACGTGTAACACACAACGTGTTTTTGTACCTGAGTATGGGATGTGCAGGCATAACGCCTCCTGAATCCGTGATCACAGCCCGTATCCTCCAGACAGAAACTGGCCTTATGTCCCTCGGCTACTTTAAGTCCTGTTACCATGTCCAGCAGGTCGTAGTTACTGAAGGCGTCCATGCTGTGGTAGTGCCTGAGGGAGTGAGACACATCAAGCTGAATAGGGTTTTATTTAGAGCCATCAGAAAATGTGAGGGACATTAGAACACAGGTGTACGGATTCTAACAACAATTATATAAAAAAACATAATTATCTCTTTATTTTTAGTTTAATTGGAAACTCACTGGTGGCAGCTGTGCCAGTCCCACTGATATCTGGGCTTGACGGGGAGGAAATCTGCAGTTCCTTGGTTCTTCACTTTCTGTGGGAACCGCAGAAGGACTCTGAAGTCGATGTCTCGCACGGTGGGTGCGTACGCCGACCTTGGGGGAAACGAGAGGCACTGAATAAAGGGCTTACAGCTGAGCTCCTGTGAGCACAAATGGTTTGGTTCCACTGAGCTTAATGCTTTTAGGAAAATCAGCCCAGAACATTTATGTCTTGGCAGGACAAGATGTTGGCAAATCACTGCTCCATATAGGAACATTGAACTGTTTACACAACCGTGCATTAATAAAACAATTACCTCAATGCATTGACAACTTTAACTTATACAAATAAGAGAAATCTGTTCAGTTATGGAAATTCACGTGTGTGACAGCAGGTGTGTGTCTGCACGACGGTGCCTACGTGCCACTCTGGGCGTACTCATTTTTAACCTCCTTTCTTTGCCAAAACAAATTACCTGGCCAGACAGTTTTCCTCTGCAGCACATTGGAGAGCGTACATCTGCATGCGCTGGACATAAGCACCTGCCTGGATGGCATATGGATCTGGAATAAGGTCTGGAAGTCCTGAGGGGGAGGGAGGTTACAAAGAGAAGCCAACTTTAGGTCCTGTTTTATGCTCCGTTCTAACACACTCTCTGCTTAATATGACCCCAGCATTCACCTTGTTTACTGTAGAGAGACCAATCATTGTATAAAACTATTTAGCTTGTTTTCTGAATCACTTTTCCACAAATTGAGTCCAGAAATTTTTAAAGCAAATATGTTTAAATAAAGGAAAGAAATTCTGATATCCTATTTAATTTTTGGAAACTCAAGACCTATGGTTTCTCACAAAGACAGGAAACTTTCTTTAGGCTACATCATTAGCACAAAACACATAAAAATATCTGATTTACATTAATAACTGTAAAGAGAAACTCATTGCATGACTTTAACTTGGATTTTTTTTCCCCCCACACACACTCACAAAATTTAATAAAACGTTTAGGTGATAATTTTAAGTGCACGCTGCTCCTTTAATGTTCACAGTTGTTAAACTGAAACTGGGTCGTTTTAAGCACACTTTAAACAAATCTGAATAATTTAATCCGGATGAAGCTGATTTATAAAGACCCTCACTTACCATTAAGGAAATACCTTGTTCCATACCCGGGGCCAGGCGGTCGGACTGGCCTGCCTCTGCTGGAATACATATTGTGGAAAACAGAATTCCTGTGGGTTTTAAACGGGTTTCGGGGGTCGTCGCTGACCATGCCCGCTTCATCAGCTGCAGCTTCGTTTGAAACATCCACACTCGGAGCAGGAAAGGGAGACGGATTCTCAGGTTCGGCTTCCAGAGTTGCCTGATAAGTTGGGATGAACTGATCCGTTTGGACGGGTTGCCTGGAGACGAGCATCCCCGCCGGCGCTGTGCGTAATGGATGATTTTGCGCACCAAGTCCTGGTTCCTCAACACGATGCGCAGCTTCTCTCCGGCCCAATAAAGTCCCCACTGAAGAGGAATTAACGCGCCCTCCTGACCCAACCGTTGATGCGCGACCACCGGGTACCCGCGGAACCTGCTGCCCGGACTGATCAGTCCTGAAGGTTCTGCTCTCTGACTGCCCGGCTCTGCTGTGCGCCCCCGGCACACCGCTGCCCGTGCCATCCCTCCTGCTGCTGCTGCTGACAAAAAACCTCGACTGGCTTCGGGACCGAACCGGGGCCTGGAACTCTGAGCCAGTGCTCATCAGGCTGTAGACCTGGCCGTTGTTCGCCCACTGGATGCGGTGCCGCCAGGGGACCGCTGCGCGCTGCTGGCCAAGGGTGACAGGTAGAAGTCCTTGGAGAAAGTAGAAGAATAGAAGAGAACACTTCTTTGCCATGACAAAAAAATAGGTCTGTTAGCTAGTGAAGATGTGTCGTAAATGATGCGCACTGAGGTGAACTCTCACAACAACACGCCACTTCTCAAAAACACTGACAGCTGCAGACAGAGGAGGGTCAAGCTTTTGTTCCTCCTACTGGTTCATTAAAACAGACCAGTTACTTTCCTAAAGTCACTTGGAAGAAAATTTAACTCACTCCTTGCCGCGTCGGTTAAACAAGAAGGTTTGCTCAGTAAACTTCACACAGGTGTGAAATAAGGACACTCAGACTGTACCACCATCAAGAAAAAAGGCCTCTTTGTTAAAAAAAAAACACAAAACTTACATACATTTTGGCCACAGCTCTTCATTGATCATAAAGATGCAAAATGTGTTTATTATGAAAGTGTTTAAAAGTGTCAATAAAAACTGAAACAATCTATAATTTTAATTAGTTGTTCTCTGTTGTAAAACTAGATTTACTTATTAAAGTTGCAATAAAAGAGTTTAGCAATTATGCAATTTCCCCCCTTTATTTAGTTTTTGAATCACACAATTTTTTATTCACCACAAGGAGGCAGTCAGTGTCTTTCTGTTCTGTCCTGCTGAGTTTCTTCAGAAGAGTTTTGGCCTGTTTGAATAAAGAAATGAGACATATCATTGATGCAAAGCATGTTAGACTAAAACCATCGCTGCTCCCAACAAACTGAACAAGTGTTCACATCCCTGATGTTGTACATTTACCATTCTTAAAAACCCTGTTTCTTTCCTTTTCTTTTCTTTTCTTTGCTAAATTGGTGCATATGATGCTCATTCTTTATTTAAGAACTTATTCATACTTTATTTTTATACCTTTTTACCTCGTGTGAATTTTGACACTGATTGCACTTTGTGATACTGATGCACCTAAATTTTCTCACTGAGGGACAATAAAGACCTATTCTATTCTATTCTATTCTATTCTATTCTATTCTATTCTATTCTATTCTATTCTATTCTATTCTATTCTATGTCAGAAATCTTAATTAATTTATGTATTTTCCATTGTTGTTATGCAGCACACATTTTATTTTAATCACACTTTTACTTGTGATTTATCCAAAGTCTCATTGGCTGTAGAAAATGCAATTTTGTTTCAGGCACCAAAAGTGCCCAGTTTTATTTTAAAACAAACAAAACAACGTCTTTAATCTAAATTAGGGGTGCAGAAAATATCGATACACTGAAATATCATGATATTTTATTTCCTGATACTTTATCAAGTCTCAAAAGCACAGTATTGATTTTTAATTAAGGCTTAAAATGTGAACTATTATGGCAGCGGTTCATCTTTTGTGTTGCATTTTAGCCTGCACCTGTTGGCAGACAGATGGATGTTGTATGAATGTGAAATACAAATACAGTTCTCACTGCTGCATTAAAATAAACTGAATTTAATCAGATTTTATGCATGTTATGCATGGTGTGCTCTTTGTACTGACTTTTTATAATTAGAATCTTTTGGAGAAAAAAATGGCGACATATCGCCTTGCTAATAGTAATGCAATATACCATGAAATATATTACGATCCATTTGTCAGGTCCTTTAATTTTAATAGGTCAAGTTTGTACTTTTTACAGCTTATCAGCAGCCATAAGCTTTTTACTTCATTGTATTCTTTCAAAGTTAATTTTGATTAGAAATAGGGTCATTTTTTTAATTTTCCTGCAGAGAACCTGCTTGATGTGGGTCATGAACAGTTTAAGACACGAGGAGTCGTGCAGCGCTCTCTGTTCGTCTCCTCTCAAATGAAATATGACTGAGTCAGTTTCCTCTGCCAAATAGGGCATCAAGATGGTTTCTATTCTTAGAGCGAGAAACTTCGCCTCGTGCCAAATTTGCAGCGCCGCCCTGCTCGCCTCTGCTGTCTGCGACGGTCCAGATTTATAAGAAGCACAGAGCCTCGGCACTGGTTTGGCTTAAGATCTTCCAGAGCAGGACATTGGAAAACCAGTAAGTATTCACGTCAAATTCAATCTTTCCTTTGTGTCAGACCTGAACGTAAACAAACCACAACAAATGTCGACACAAAACAAAAAAACTTGAACTTGTAAATTGTGAGTTGCTTGGAAATAAAATGAACATCAGCAGCGTTGGACAGCTACTTCCCTGAGTGAAAAACTAATTCTTTTACGCTTTGAATATATCTTATCCCGTGAATCTAGGTATCCAAGGCTGCTCACATCTCTTGTGAGAGTTAACGAAGACGGTGGTCTTAAAAGGGTTTTACTAGAAGAAACATCATGGAATATACCTGTTGTGTCTCTCTGGCCTCACACATGCCTTTCTGAGGAATTTAATGATAAATCCAGAGGGGTTTACCACAGACAGGTGAGACGCTGGCAAATTGTTTCAGAAATAAACTCCTGCTGTTTCGTGGATATTTCAGCCGACAACGTAAATAAAAATTGAGCTGTTTTGATTGTGATCTGAATTAAAATAGAGTTAAACATGAGTTATTAACGTTTCGACAAGACAGGGCAGCAGACTTCCTTGCGACACAAGTCTTGCTCATCTCTGACTAACCTTTGAAAATATCAGCCCCCCCATCGGCTCGTCTCATGTTTCAGCTCTTAACATCAAGTTTCTGCATCCATCTTCATGTTTTTATTCATCGACACATAATTAAAAGCTTTTAATAGATGATCTAGCTGATGTATAGCTGAGACCAGTTTAGACTAAAGGATATACTACTCTGTACAACTTAAATTTCATCTTTCCCACTACGTTATGTGACATGTGCTGTATTGAATTAGCTGCTGTAAAAGTTTAAAAATTGAACTTTTATTTTCTAAATGTTATATATGTATATAACATTTAGAAAATAAAAGGATATCATATTTATATCATTTAGATTTGCTCAAAAATAAATACTCAGAATGTTAAATGTTTTCTGTGTGAGGTTTGGTTTCTCCTGAACAGCATTTAAAGCTGAAAAAGTTTCGTAACGTTTCTCAAATTGCTTGTAATTTTGCCACATTTCTTGTCTGCACTTGACTCTGAAGCCAAACTGACATCACAAACGCCAACTAATATAAAAATAAGGATCTTAACTGCATAAAACAAATCAAGAAGTAAATGTGCTGAAAAACACTAAATGCTCCTCTTATTTTTTTATTCTTTACATTGTGAAACTGGGTGGTTGCAGAACAAGAAGTAAGCTTTTTCTTGTTTCTGCGTGCTTCAACACTACAGGATGTGGGCAGGAAAACAGGATGACAGGTAGCAAAATGCCACAAATCAGGACTTTTAACCTTCCTGAGCTATACCTGCCATTTTATGATGTTTGTTTTATGACATTTTAAGCCAATCAACTCCAAATGACCTGACGCACCTTCTGATCTCTTAAGGATTGCTGTGAAAAAGGAGCCACTCCTTACTTTGAGTCTTGTCAAGTAAATTTTGAAGGACAAAACTTTTTTTTTGCATTATCAAGCAGAAGCTTGTATATGATGACATCAACACCAATAAAATAATGTTAAAAGAGTCTGGACTTCGGCTGTTCTTGTTTGGAAAAGTAAAATCACACATTTAGCTTTTCCTCCTCACCAGCCAGAGAGGAATGTTTTAAACACATGTGCTTTAAGGTGCACTTAAATCAAACTTCACATGTATTTTCCCTCATTGAGTGTGTCATAAATATATTCCTATAATTCATTCAGTGTGATAACCATAACCACAACTGGTCAGAAGGCCTCGCCCACTCACACATGTGACACACGCTTCTCCCCAGAATCACTGCCTCTCCGCCCGTACATGGGCGTCTTGGCTGTGGGAAGGGGTTTCCATGATGGATTCCTTCTCATCTTACTGGGCGTGTGTGTGTGTGTGTGTGTGTGTGTGTGTGTGTGTGTGTGTGTGTGTGTGTGTGTCTGAGTCAAACCAGGACCCGACGCTTCAAGTGACCGTGTTGCAATCGTGAATTGGCTGTACATTTGTGAAATATGTGACACCACAGGCACTTAGCCCTATATTTAGTCCAGCAGAGCGGTGACTTTCTGCTGCAGGTCAGCTGGCATGTAAAGACTCCCAACGATGCATCACAAGACCCTCAATCTCCACCCACTCCTGTCCTGGAGTCACACATCTCTGAGTTGAAATGTGTGATCATATGGAGATGTCAAAAAATGTATATGAGTGGACACAATCATCACAGTCAGATATTTTTACTTATTTTTTCATCATGTTTTATATCACCAGAAAACATTATTATCACCCATCAAATACATTTTTCCATCAGGTGAAGTTATTGAAATTCAATGATTTGGTTAACTATGGTATTTTATCAGTTATGTATAGGGCTCATAAAAACACATTACCTTCAAACATTCAATTACACTTTGTTAAAAGAGAGAGTTGTTACAATCTCAAAGGGATACAGATGTTTGTTAAACCCAAATTTAGAACCAGTTTAAAGGAACAGAGTTTTTCAATCCAGGGTATAAGATTATGGAATAATCTGGAGTATGACATTAAAAATGCCAGATCATTGAGTATATTTGAGAGAATGATAAAGAATAATTTGCTGGAGAAACGTATGAATTGTGGTTCAAGGAGTTAAACCTTTGTATTTTTCTTTTTCTTTTTTTATAAACTAAAGKTTATTTTTGATTGAATTTATTTATTTGAGAAAAAGGGGCAGATATAAGATTTTATCTTCTTCTACCTTTCATTTAATTTATGATTTGTATTTTTGTTGTATGTTGAATTTGTTGTTTTTTTAAAGAAATGAATTAACCAACTAACTAACTAACTAACTAATGTACAAAAGTCATCATAGGCCAAATATTTGCTGCTCATTTATTTTTTAAAGGGATCCACGATTAGTTGTAATATTAGACTTTATTTGGTAAACATTTATTTTAACTGTAAAATAAAGACTGTAAAAATACTCAAGTAAATGTAACTGAGTAAATGTAGCTAGTTACTACCCACCTCTGCTGACTTATCAGTACATTATCTGCTGTATTAATTTGAGCTCTCCCACCTTATCAACTTATTATTGTTACAATTAATGTGATATTTTCCAATACCTCTTTCATTCACTGAGCTTCCATAGGAGGCCCTGTCTTAATAAAATTATTTTTTCTCTTTTGTTCCCTGTTATCTTTTATCTTTTGTTATCAGCTCTAACATCATTTATTCCTCAAAACTAAATCTAACGTTCTAGACCAGCAGGATGTCATCACTCATCCTCAATAAACAGAAATATTTGGGCAGTAAAACTTCAGGTTTATGACACGTTACAGGAACTACATCAGCATGTGTTTGCCTAATGAGATTTCACCAGAAAAAAGAAGAAACACAAGGTTGATTCAGTTCTTTCTTTAAGTTGTGCGACCTTTTTTTTATCTCAATGGGCATTTTATTAGTTTCACATAAAACATGATCAGATAGTAGATCTGTTCCTGGTGTTAAACACTGGGTAGACCAGAGGTGACTTATCTTTTTAGAAAAAGTTATACAGGATAATACAAAACACAACACTTCTGCTGTTCGTTCCTAACAAGTTACATATTTGTTTTCTATTTACACATCAGGCTAGAAGAACAGAACTGGTGGTACACATTTACTCAAAATGATATTTACAAGTCTATACACATCCTGGTGTCGGCCCGACCTGCTGGAGAAGAGGAGCAAAGTTACTCACAGGGATCATGAAACAGCTGCAAGCATCTCTGTAAAACATCAGTTTTAATTACCTATAAGTTGTTCAGCAGTGAGTTTTGAATGCTTTCGTACACAAAGTTGTAGATATCCTCTATTGTTGTTGTTCCGTCGAGGTATTCTGCACACAAAGATATGAAAATCAGAGTCAAAGATTGAAGCGTTTGACTTTAGATGTGTGGAGAGGTCGATCAGTCGATATGCACACAAACGGGATGGATCGCAGATACATTCAAAGGAGTTGCGAACCTATTCTGCTGCAGTTGTTCTCCATCTCTTTCCGGTGTTTCAGGTACATTGGCCAGACGTGGCCATCGAACAAGCCTGGGGGGTCAGGGACCGTGTATGTCCTTGTACTACAGAAGCAAAATCAGGCATCATCCCACTGCTTATAGGACTAAAATCTGGGAAAGCATCTGAGAACTTATTTTATTTACCTTCTTCTCCTCTTGCATTCCTCGTAGGGAATGGAAATGTAGAAACACTTGTCGTAGGTGTCGATGAGAGGCCTGTGGAAGGAAACCAGGGCTTGGATCAGCATAAAGCTCTACAGGTCAAACAGTTGGTGTAGGTGAAATGACCTACTTATAGTTGTAGATGAGGAACCCTTCTACGATGAGAATATGGATCCCCTTCACCTCCGAGTCGGATTCCTCGGCTTCAGGTGACAGGCTGACTCCGTGGGAGCGGGCGAACTTGATCGGGTTCTCCTGCCAGCCTTTCACCGTGTTCACCATGGCCTCCATGTCCAGAGCGGCGATCACTGAATCAGAAGGAAAGAAAAGGAAAAAAGAGCGGGTTTCACCACCGTGTGCTGTTGATGCTCCTCACCAATGTGCTGTGACACACATTAGTCACGGTTAGTGAATGTTTGTAGCATTCACAGTATATTTTGGTAGAAAGTCTAGGATTGGATGGTTACCAAACTATAGACAAAAATGTGTAGGAAAGGGAAAAAGTACATTACTGAAGGGTTTTCCTAAGCGAAATCCATTCTTACCATCCCACTGTCTAAAGCCGTCCTCCCCGACTTCTATTTGATCGGGTTTCTGAAATAACAGTCACCAACAAAACATTGCTGCAACCTAGTAACCAATCGGACCTGATCACACCTGGACAGGACAAGTCAAGGACTCATCTCCACCAAAAGTGAACGCGCAGATTTTTATTTATTTGTTTTTCATGTTACCATTATAAAATTTCAGCTGCTGTACTTTTCAGCTGTGTTATGACTTTACAATCTTCTTTGATACTTGTACTTAATTGATTGTAAAGCCATGTAATTGTACTTTTTTTTCAATAATGTGACAAAAAACGCGCAGTTTCCCGTGCAATAGAATTTTGGATTTGTATTTCTTTGTTGTCAAAAAGTCGTGGCAAAATAAGAAAAAAAAAGTGAAGTCCTCTTCAGACTTCAAAGCAAAACTGGTTATGATCCCAGGAATCTCTAGTTGCTCGACTTGAAACTTTACTGGACAAAGTCTGACTTTAAGTGGGGACGCTCAGCCCATTCATTGGCTGTCCAGGAGACAATCAGCCATATGATTACAAGGCTGCTGTGACGACAAGACATCTGCAGGTCAGACTGGTGATCTTTTATTTCTTAGTCTCACAAAAATGCTTTTATTTTAAATTTAGCCAAATTAAAGATATATATAAAAAAATAATATAACATCCTAATAAGCTGTCATTGTAGCTTTCAAGTAAACATTTGGCAAATTCAGAAAAATCAATTCAAACTTGGTCTTACCTTGAAAAAGTCATCCTGATGTACCACACAACAGTTAGGTAATGTCTTTAGAAGTCTATTTGTCAAAGTGGTCTTCCCACCGTTGGTCACTCTGAATTTAATGTCACATAGAAGCACGTTACGTCTCAAACTCTTTAGAACTTTTACTAACAGAAAGCTGTAAATGGTTTAAATGAAACCTACCCTCCAATGCCGATGATGAACTTCATCTCCTGTGTCTTCTGAGTGTTGGTCACCTCTGGAATTCAGTAAGTAAAAGCAGGGAACCCAACCAGAACTACCAATCTATCAAAGGCCCTGACTGAAACCTTTTCCTTCCTCTCCACCACAGCTGTTCCCTCCTTTTACTACTTCATTGATAGACAATCTCCTTGCCGGGCTTATAAAGGATGTGGCCGATACGTCACAACCACTCAAACCAATCAGCTCCTGTTTCCACCAACCAATCAGTTGCTGCTTAGGTCACATGATCTGAGCAGAACTTCAGGAGCCTCAGGGTTGCAGGAAAGTAGACCCTGAAATGTTGCACCAGCTGTCAGAGGTCAGTGAACACATATATGACCCAAACTCTAGAATTTGACTTAATTAATCCTCACTATGGTCACATTTGGTGACACGTTCACCTTGTCCTAAACTTGGGATACAGTTTCTGATTGCAAAACTGATCTGAGTTTGGAGGGTAAATTTTATTGTAAAAAGGTTTGTTTTGTTTAGGAAAGGGCAGCTAGAAAGGATCAACTTTAACTTATACTCTGGATGTTCATTCAGAGACATTTGTATCACAACACAAACTAATTCTTTGCTCATGCAGCCTTGGGCGAGTATGAACCAGGCGCTCTATATATAGCTGGGTGTGTCTCGCTGCTGCATCACGCATATTTCTGATGCAACCAGAGTCCGCGGGCAGCCCGCCATGCGAGCACCGCGTCTGTAGTCACAGCGAAAGCTGTAATAAAACACATACGTTTCTCTGAAGCTTATCGCCGCCGGTTGTTACTCATCTCCGGATGTGTGCAATCTAATAGGGCTTATTTCATTCATCTAGTATTAGAATATGTTATTTTACAGCTGCTTTTTATCTGCGGAGCCATAAAGATGCGAAGAAGGTGAACTTTAAGTCCCGGCTATGAAAGCACGTGTTCTCATGTTTCATTGCCTGGACAAACCCGGGGTAAAAGTGATGCTTGGCGACAGGAAGGGATTAAAAGATTTGTGGTGGGAAATGTAGAAAATGAAAATGTCACAAATGGGTAAAAACCTGCTCAAAGGAAAAGAGTATCATACAAAAGTGTATTTCAGACCTGTATGGTATTTTAGAGAAAGAATGTGGTTTATACATGTAAAACAATATATAATGGGCCTTTGTTTGGCTAACTATTAGCGTGGCATAGTAGCATCTGCATTTTTCTTCATACTATGTGCTCTTTGATTTTCACGACTAATAACTAATAATAACTATTTGATAAAACATCACTTTTACAATGACCAGACTACTCCTTTATCTAAATGTTGCTTACATGGAGTTAGAGCCCAAAGTCATTTATCACAACATGAAGGAAAGCAACACAGAGAAGGTGAAAACTCGACTTTCTCAGAACTGAAAACCATTAAAGCAACATTTATTGTGTTCTGTTTTCATAAATGCAGCAATAAGAAACTGACATAAACACTATAGAATATTAACAACTGTTTTTGGACATGGCTTTGTAAATGACTGCACCTGATCTCTGCTGGGCAAAAAATACTTTCCAGGTTATAAATACTTACTGTTGTTGGCAAACAAATGGCTCAGTCAGTGATTAGATTAATTTTCATAATGTTTATCCAACAGTCTAAGGTAGTCTTCAAACACAGCTGCAATATCTTTATTTTTTTCAGTAAACCGTTTCACTGGTTTGCAAAAATGGTTGAACTCTTTCTTTAAAACTTCATTGACTTTTTAACCCTCCTGCTGCCCTTGGGTCAAAATGATGATGTCTGTCTGTCATGTGAATATTGACACTATTATGTTCTTATATTTTGTCAGTTAGGAATAGTGTGCCACAATGTTTGGAATTTGTGATTTTACATTTAATTTTTATTATTTATCTTTATTTACAAAAGTTTTCCCATGGCAATAAATTTAGCTGAGTCTGTTTTGTCTTTTTATGCCCCTTTTAGCTTTTAGCTTTGTCTGGTACTCTTTCCTTTTAGCTACAATTTTTGCTACTTTAGCTTTGAGTTACGGCTTTGCCCATTTTAGCTTTAGATTATGATTTAGCTCGATTGAGATTTAGTCTGCAGTTTTGGGAGTTTTCAGCGCTGTTTTCTGTTCTGCTTGTTTTAACTCGAACAACTCAGTTTAGCTTCTTCAACAAATTTCATCCGTCTTTCAGCATTTACACTGCTTTTTTGCAGAAAATAAAAAAATCTAGTTATTGTAGCTAATGGTGTTTTCATTTAATTAGCATGACGCAAGCTAAGCTGTAGTTTGCTTCATTAAGTGATTATGTAATAGGATAAAAACTGGTGTTTAACACTGCATCTACAGCATAGAGTCTCTTCAAGGGTATAAAACACCACTGGCACCTATTTTGAGGAGCACAGGACTGTCAGCTGATTCAGAGAACATCGAGTGGGTCGGCCAAATGTCTCATAGATCACGGTTACATCCCTTCATAACTCATCTGCCAGAAATGTTCCGAACCCAGGAGGAACACAATAAGAAGCAATAAAAGAATAAACATTTTATTTATTTAGACAGGACATTTCATTCCAGAGGACAGCTCAAGGAGCTATGCAAAATATGGACAAACTTAACAGAAACCGGACAAGAGGACACACAGACACAGATATAAAATTGTAATTATTGAAAAGTGAATTAATCAACACAATAAACTGTTTAGAGTCAGTTAACTGAAAGCTATTTAGATTTTATTGTGGTCAGATCAAGCTCCTCAGGCAGGATCGTTTGGTATTTGAATCGTGGAACATCTAACAGCCCGGTGCTTAATGAT